AGACAGTAGATGAGTCTGGTTAAGCGAGGTCAGACGTCCACCAGAATCAACTCAGCCTCAGGCATCCAAAGCCACACCACAGTCGGTGGTGATGCAACTGGGGGCTTACTCTGAGGAAACCTAGGAAATCTCGGTGCGCAAGGAGGGGAATCCTGCAGGGCAGCTGCACTCAGGGATACGCCCAACACCATGGCCTGCCACCCTAGGGTCAAGGGTGAAGGAAAGAAAGCTCACCGCCTGAACACGGAGATTGTCTTTCTGCCTCAGAACAGCTGCAAATGTGTCAGGAGGTTAGCTGCAGAAAGAAATCGGGATGCTGCGGAGCACAGAGTGATTTGGAACTCCATTCCACCTGACCCTGTGTGTACAATCCAGGAAAAAACCCCGCTCAGAAACAGAGAACTGGGGCCGCAAAGAAATCACAGCCAAGGAAGATTTGATGCATTCAGATTCTTGTGTAACATTTGTTGCTTGGCAACAGTACTGGTTGGGTTGACCAGTAAGTACAAAAAGGCTATGTGATAAGAATTTCAGAAATGGACTGAAAATGGAGAGCTATGTAACAGATACACTACATGGGAAGAACTTACTTCTGAAATAAAAGGAAAAACCCCCCACTCATCATCCTCCTCCCCAGACCCTACCACCTACCCATTCCCCTTTTACCTGATCTAGTAGATTAGACATCTTTCAAATTCACTTTTTGCTCAATCCTTATATTTCATATACTTCCATCTTGATGCTGTTACACAACTTATATTTGGAGTGATAAACAAATTTCTCTAAAGCCACTGATAACGTGGAAAATTCAAGGATTGTTTCAAGGTCTGATGATCACATATAAAATGTAATTCTGGTTAAGTCATTTCTGTGATTCTATCATGTGCAGTTTCCAGAATTTTCACTGTGCATTCAAAAGTAATGAATCTAACAGACATTTGATTTCATGTACACTCCCCTTTGCTTATAGTGTGCATTTTTTGGAGGTCATTCAAATTTTCCCTCTTCTGTGATTGCTGTAGTTTCTTTCATAGAAAGTAGCTAAACCAATGTAATCTTTTTACCTTTTTAAAAACCAGGATAGAATACCTATTAGAGTTTTACATTGTTGATGACAGATTAAAAATAAAGTGATGTTCTCTTGAAGGTAGAGTGAAATGTTTTTTTAATTCAGTTTTCTCATTTGATACTTTTAATTTACAAGGTGTAAATTAGAAGTGCTTTAGTTTACCTGGTATTTTAGGACATGTACATGAAAACATCAGCAAAAGTGAGAACCACCAGTACCTTTTATTAAGTTCAATGAGTCTGTGAAGTACTTTTGTTTTTGCATAATTTTAATAGTTTGCTGTTTAGTAATACATTAATTATAGTGATTTCATGATCAAGTTAAATTGAGCATTGCATTTCAGTACTGACTTTGTAAACTCAATTGTTGATCCAAAATAAAATTCAGATTAGAATAGGATTCTTAAAATCACAACACGAAGAATACAATTTAAAATCTTGATTGAGTCTATTTTTCCTACATCTTAGAGATTAGAACTGTGATCACTTTCTAGTTGCCAATCCTCACAGATAAACTTGAGAACTGTTAAGGAAAAAATTCCACACAGCTCTGGCGTTTTCTGTATTCTGATTGCTGCATTAATCCATAATTAAATACCCATTAGACTGCATTTCAGTATCAGTGCTTTTTTAATACTTCAACAGATAGAGCAAGAAAGGTGGTATTTTTAAAATACCCATGTGTGTCTAATTGCAAGATTAAGGAACCTAGTGCATCAAATTTTATTCATTCTTTTTTAACCTTACTTTCTCAATCAAAACAACCTATCTGGAATAATAATGCCATATTGTGTTTTGCACACTGCTTTATTTCCTAGAGGCTGTGGGGCTATTGCATTCATCACTTGATTACCTCTGCTCTTCAAGATTGACCAGTTTTTTCAGCAACATTGTCACAAGGAAAAATTTCCATCAAAATGATAAAACCAGTTCATACTAGTTTGTCCCTATAGGTAGTATTCAAAAATTGCTTCCTCTTTGGCAAAGAAGATAAATGAAGTAGGTGAACTTTATCACCTGTGAATTTTTGGCTTCAGAGGTACCTGGCACCTTATCTGAGCAAAAATGAAACAGCTTTATAGCAAAAACATGTGCCTCTGGTAAATTATCCATCATTTTCATTTTAAAATAATCCCTCAGAGAATAGTGTGGCATATATATGTTTGGTTGTGGGGCAGATATAACTGATGACTTCAAAGCTGCTCCTTACTGCACCCTGGACAAGACCCCAATCTCTACAGTTTGGCTTCCTCTGGGAAGTGATTCTGCAAGTACTAGTAGCCTTGCCGTTTTAAACTGCTGTAAGAGAACTCAACAATTAGAGAGTTAACCAACAGTAAAAAGCCCTGGTGATAAAGCAGAATGAGAAATCAGGGCTATATTTTGGGGATTGTCTTTTAACAATGTAAAGTTTAGAGTGCTGTGGTTATGAAGTCATACATTTTTAATGATACAGAATACCTCTGGAAAACCAGGGGTCTGCTCCTCTCTTTTTCTTTCTCGAATTCAGGGGGTACAGAATAACCTACAACCTATCATTCAAAGTACCCTTGGAAATTGAAGTTTATTGTCTTTGTTGTCTTTAATTTTCTAGAATTGCCTAAATATTGATTTCTTTACAAAGCTGTGGAGGCTTAATGGTTTTATAGAGTGTATTTCTCTTTTACTATTTCTTTGGTGTGTTTTAACAGTATTTCTGAGTTCTTAACAGTTTGCTAGGTGACAATAGATTTTGTGTCTGACACTGTGGTGAGTTGTTTTTGAGATATGTAAGATTTCTTTGAGAACTGATAATCAAGCTCTTGATCTGTTTCCTTAAATTATTTTTATTAAGAGCCCAAACCCAGGTTCAGGGTGAGGGTTTGTAATACAAAGAAAAATTTTCATCACTTCTGCCCTTAACACTTGCCTTTATTAACTAAGTTTAGTATGTAGTTTTTTAAAATATTGTCCAATGTTTGGTGTTTCTGCATTGTTTTGTGGTTATTCTTGATGTGTGAAATTTAGGGAAAGAGCCATTTAAAAAATGCCACGCAGGGCAATGCAAGTACAGCCAAATATTAGAGTTGATGTGCAATCTTAGGTTCTTTTAAATCTGGGGTATTATAGGCAGTACTTTAAACTGAAAAGTCTTCCTGGCCTATTTTCCTCCACGTATTTGTGACTTCTCTGGGGGCTTACTTGTTTTGGCAGTAAGAAGCTGGTCCTTTTCTCCCAATTCTTTTCATATTAAAGAAAAACACCCTCAATTGGCCTGTTAGTCCTTTCATCTTACATCAAAAATCAGTGAATGCTTTTCTATTAGCACATTTAAATACCATTGTTTTACATAAAATTAGATGCATATGAAATCAGTGACCTTCTGTACTCTTCTTGAGTTTGTAAAATGACAGTAATTCAAAGCTAGAACTACCCCATCCTCCCTTAAATCAAGGAGGTAGGATATAGTAATGTAAGGTTCACTTAAAGAAGATAGATGTTTTCAATATTTGAGTTATTAGATTCTTCCTATGGAGAAAAACTAGCATTACAAAGTTTCCCAAACATTGGGAAGGGGAAATTCACTGTTTTTTGACCCTTAAGGGTTTGCTGCACTTTCCTTTTTAGGCCTGGGTAACCATATCACCATGCCTTTCTTCCAAATGGGCAAATGGACTCTTAGAGCAACTTTCTAGGTTCAAGGGTTAATTGTACAACATGAACTGTTTAGAGTCTTTTACTTTCTATGGGAATTTGACTGGGCTTAGTAGGGAAAAGCTGTTGGTTGTGCTAATGTAAAAATGTCATACAATTAGCTCTACTTTTGAAGACGGTAAACAAGGAATTGCATGTTGTTCTGAAATACAGACTTGTAGAATGTTTTCTTTCTTTAAAACAGGCTGATTTCCCGCCCCCTCTTCTTTTTCTGATAGTCCCAGTTTCAGTTCCTATTTAAAGTTCTTGTGTCAGTTATTTTTCTGGTTTAAATTTCCCTTATATTTCCACCTGTAATGTCAGTGGCAACATCATACTTGTTAATTTACTTTACCCTTCTTATAAGAGCAAATTGAGTTGAACTGAATCTTCCTTGTCCTAGTAAACATTGTATAAAATAAAGTGGCTTCTCTGTACAAAAGGTTGTAATGCCTCCTGATGGATATAATTTTGTGATTGTATTTAAGATTAAAAGTTGAACAAATCACACCAGCTTCCTGAAAATGTTCATAACGCATTGTTTGGAAAACAAAAATACATGCCTACTTTGTGCATATTTGCATTACCATGGCAGAGATTGTATGAAATACATGTTTTTCAAAAAATAAAGGTTAAAAAGATGTAGCATTTAAGCTCTGAATTTATTGGTCAAAGTAGTTTCCAGAAAACTTAATTTTGCTATATGGGTAGCTATTTTTTTAATAGTCTATTTTTATGATTTCAGAGAGGAAGGAAGAGGGAGAAATAGAAACATCAATGATGAGAATCACTGATCGGCTGCCTCCTGCACACCCCCCCACTGGGAATGGAGCCCACAACCTGGGAATGTGTCCTGACCTGGAATTGAAAGGTGACCAGGTTCATAGGCCCATGCTCAACCACTGAGCACACCAGCCAGGCAGGTAGCTTTTTTTAAAGCATGAATACCTCTAGAAATTAAAAAAAAATTTTCTCCCCTCGAAGTTCTATAGTATTTTTGAACAGCAGTGGAAATTTTACTTCAGTGGGAAAGTTCTTATCAAGATACTGTTAAGCTTAATTTTGTCAATATTTAAAAACAAATCTATAGCCTAGCTGGTTTGGCTCAGTGGTAAGCGTCAGCCCGTGGACTGAAGGGTTGCAGCAGGTTCCATTCGGTCAAAGGCAAGTACCTGGGTTGCAAGTACCCTGGCCCTGGTTGTGGTGGCACGCGGGAGGCAAACCAATTGATGTCTGTCTCACAAAGATGTTTGTCTTACCCCTCCACTCTAAAAAGTAGACGGAAAAAATATCCTCAGGTGAGGATTAATAAAGAAAATCTCACACACAAAAAAACACTGACATGTACATTCCCTGGGATATGAAAACCTGAAGGCAAATTTAAATGTCCGGCTTGTTTTATCGTCTGGAAGTCAGACTGCATTTGTTGCCGCTAGATAGTGTTAGCTGTTTAGTCATCTGGCACGTTTTGAAAGATCACATCCTGTTTTTGCAGTACAAAAACAAAGCTCAAAAGAAAGCTACACTAAGGGTAGGTGTTTTGTTTTTTAAGCCGTTGGGAAAGTTGGAAGACCTTACAGCAGTGCTCTTGGGTTGTGAAGTGGCAAATAGCTCTGGGAACACATTCCTCCAGGAACAAAACACTCCGTGAAGAACCTGTTGCTGCTTGAGCTGCTCCCATTTTTTTTCACCTACCCAATTTCACAAGTGGGTGTTGAAAAGTCGTCTTAAGTTGTACATAGGGAAATGGGTGAAAACCAGAAGTAGCTACCAAAGTAGACATGGGTTATTTCTTGTTTTTAGAAATGTCACTTTTTAAAACTAATAACTGGCATCTCATTTGGAAGTGGGTGTTACGGTGCCTCTAGCAAAATTTTGCACTCGGTGCTCGATATAATTATTGAGACTAATTACTGTCTGCTGACTTTCTTTTGAAGAGGGAGGGGAGGGCCTGGCTCTCAAACTTAATAGCTTTAAAATCTCCCAAAATGGGCTCTCTCGATCAGCTCGATGCACCTTACCTACATTTCCCATTTTCCACCCAATAATAGTCCCCAAAGTAGCGCTTTATTAGAGTCCCTTTCCCTTGCAAAGGCTTCCCTCCCACCCCGTCAAGTGTTTATATCTGAGCCAGATGATTTTCAAAGATCCTACCCTTTCTTGAAATACATAATGCTTCTGTCCGCCTGGCTTTCTGTGGTCTGTCGCTACATTCTCTCACAGTTCTTTATGCCTTCCCTGAACTTTTAAAAAAGAACCTGGTAGTTGTAGACCTATATGTTTTAAAACATTTAAATTCGATAGCATAATACAGAATAAAAGGATAAAAAGCTGTACGTTAAACGCTCGGCAAGATTTCCTAAAACAGACATCTGACCAGGTCAACATTTGGTATGAGTTTGTTTGAAGGATGAAAAGCAAAGCGCTTTGTTAGTTCATTTTGAAATCCGGGTGAGAAAAGACGTAGAAGTGCCTCAAAAGTTCACCTAGTTCCTAAATTGCTTAAGAATCCCACGGTTCTCAACCTGTGGGTCGCGACCCCTTTGGCGGTCAAACGACCCTTTCACAGGGGTCGCCTAAGACCATCCTGCATATCAGATATTTACATTACGATGCATAACAGTAGCAACATGACAGTTATGAAGTAGCAACAAATATAATTTTATGGTTGGGTCACAACATGAGGAACTGTATTTAAAGGGCCAGAAGGTTGAGAACCACTGGCTTACGAGGTTTATGTGTCCCCTTAGCAAGGTTTCTAACGTAAGGAAGGTTGTCAAAACCAGCCCTTTTGGAGAGGGAGGTCGTAGTTCCATAACAAGTGCCCCACAAAGACCCCATAAGCCAGCTTTACAAAGCGGTGCATTTTTCACGAGTTTTCTAAGCCCAGATGACCTCTCCCCTCCCCCTACCAAGCTAAAGCCCTTTTGCTATGGAAGGAACAATGCAGAAATCTACATCAACAGCTCAAAACTTCAGTGATGGGCACGGGCCTCTGGCAAGGGGACCGGCCATCGTCCGAGGTTAGGGAGACATGCCCGATCTTGCCCTTCGCCTGACGCTGGGGCGGCTTCTTTCTTCGAGAACTACATTTCCGTCTCCTTAGCAGCTCTGAGGTTCAGCAGAAGGTCCGCGACAACCCGTGGCGGCCAACCCTGGGGCTCCAGAGGCCCGGCGTAGGCTGGAGCCGTTCAACCGCTTCCCGAAGGCCTGCTTGGGGCCGCGCACACCTCCTGGGCGCTGATTGGTCACCCTGTGGCCCCGCCCCCTCGGCCCTGCAACGCCTCGCTCTCCTTTGACCTCGATTTCAAGCCAAGCGCTGGGCAGCGGTTGGTCCGGCTCCCCTGAAGCTTGGGTTCGACGTGCCCAATGAGGAACGAGCTTCGCGGGGGCTGTCGGGAAAGGCCGCCGGCCTATATAAGGAGTTTGCTGGGCGTGTCGTCGCGCCCGGGTCGCCGTGCGGTTCTTGGACCGGGGCTGGTTGGGAGGTTGCCTTGGGCTCGCTGAAGCGGCACTTGGGAGACGATGGCGGAGGGCGATAATCGCAGCACCAACTTGCTGGTGAGTGCCGGCGTTCGTCACCCCGGAAACGGGCAGAGCTGCGGCACGTCGGTGGGCTCGACCCGGCGGTGCTGCGGCCTCGTGTTTATAACCCGCGGCGGCCCGGCCCTCTCCGGGATTCCTGGCGCTGGCGACAACGTCTGCTCCTCGGGCTTCTTGAGTAGCTTCTGCTTGGCGGTGTCTAGTCCCCCGGGGGAGGGGAGAGGAGGGCGGGCGATCAGATCGCGAATACGGGTTGAGGAAGAAGGGGGGCTGTGGCAAGAGGGCCGCGAGGGGCCTGTCGAGCGCTGTTGGGGCCTAGGCCCCAGTTGTATCGCATCTCTCCGCTTTGATCTTAACCGGGACGCCCCTTGGTTCCTTTCCCCCATGCGCTTGGGCAATGGGTGGAGGGTCAAAGGGCTGTGGCTGAACATTTCTGTTAGCGCTGGCAGAGCTGAAAACGGCAGAGAGGCAGCGAGTTCACCGTAGAGAGAGAAGTTGGTGGGAGGGGGTCCAGCTGGCAGGACAATGGGAGGGGAGGTCCAGGCGTTTGTCTGGAATTTGTACGTCTGGGGGTCGCAGGACGATTTCAGAATAAGCAGGGGTCCGAAGGAACTGGAGTGAGGTTGCGTCACAGGCGGACAAATGTGACCTCACTGTGGATTTCACGGCACAGAGTTCTGGTCAAAAACGAGAGAAACCGGTGCATGTTCTCTGTTCCCTTTCCCCAGGGAAAGGCAGGCCACACACCACACCACAGTGACTAGAAAGAGCAAATAATTTAATTTTTGGCTTTTGATTTTCCAATAGCCCAGGTGCTGTAAGGGATTAAGAGACTTTGCAGGGTAGTTTGTGTGTGCACTTGTTTTTAGAAATGCATGACCACACCCACCCACACACCTCCCTCTACCTACCTACCTACCTACCTACCTACCTATCTACCTCTATAGTCAGCCCCTGCCAGGTTCCTTTTAAGAGGATTGATCAAAGCACAGAGTTGAAATGACAGGTCCTGGACTGGAGCTCAAACACTCTTTCCAGCAGAGCAGTGTAACTTGAAGGAGAAAACGTTTTGCCACTCCACATTAGCTCATCCTAGAAATTGACTTGTCAGATTTTCGGAGAAATTGGAAGTCTAACCAAAATGTCCTCATAAGTTTAAGAAGCGCTGTAGAAGATGTATACATTTATTATTTGGTAAAAGCAGTTTTCCTTATTTGTGCAAATGATGTCAACATCTAAATGATTCCATTACACAAAGAGCTACTTGAGAATTTTATTGAGCGCTGTTCAGGGAGAGGCTGCTATCCTAATGGACTTAGAAGTTGGGGTTTAAATCAATGAAATGACAAAACAGCAAATCAATTCTAACCACCTGAAATGAGCAAATAGAAAGATCTAATTTTATACTGTGGGTACTGTGCTTGGTAGTGCATGACTTTGGGAAAGTTGGTTAATCATTCTTTAATGTAAAATGGGTCTTAATTATCCCTACCTTATGTGAAGAGTAGCCCAGTTCTTAGACTTGGAAAAGTGACCATTACATTATTTTTTTTTCTCTCCACTGATTTTTTTCATTGGCACCAAAATTTTAGAGTTTTTTTTTTTGAGAAACTAATTTGTTTAAAATAGTGATTTGGTTTACAGCTGTTTTATATATTTGATGTCTTAGAAGAGTTTAATTCTCTAGGATTAATTCTCAGGAATGTTGAGAGTAGTAAATGATGGCTTTAAATATTGGTTGTCTATAGGCTGCAGAGACTGCAAGTCTGGAAGAGCAGCTGCAAGGATGGGGAGAGGTGACGCTGATGGCCGACAAAGTCCTCCGATGGGAAAGAGCCTGGTTTCCGCCTGCCATCATGGGTGTGGTTTCCTTGGTGTTTCTGTAAGTGAGCTATTCAATTCCTTAAGGTTGTGTTTGTTATTAATAAGGAATCAGGTACTACACAGCGAATGGAAGCGTCTTAAGTCTTTTGTAATGCATAATCTGTAAAGAATGCCTTTTCTTAGCGCAGTTTGCCCAGTTTTTAGAACTTTTAGTACTTTGTGAACTCAGTAACATAATGCAGTTGAATAAATCAGTGATTCTCAAACTGTTTGGCCTTAGAACCCTTTACACTCCTACAAAGTATTGAAGACCACCGAGAGCCTTATTCTCTTGGTATTTACATCGCAGCTATAATGTCATCATGTCATGAAGCTTCCAGAAAACCACTTGTGAGAAAATTAGAATGAAAAGGGCAAATAACATCTGAGAACCAGAGGAATAAGTGAATAAACATCTTCACTTAGGAAAAGTGACTCTGTTTTTCTAACCTTTATTAATTTTTTTTTTTAAACAGGAATATCTATTATCTAGATCCATCTGTTCTATCCGGTGTTTCCTGTTTTGTTATGTTTTTGTGCTTGGCTGACTACCTTGTTCCCATCCTGGCGCCTAGAATTTTTGGCTCCAATAAATGGTAGGTGGCATGATAATTTGGCATTCTAATTTCTGAGAAATTACCCTGTTGGCTGTGATTAGTATTCTGTAACTAATCACAGAGAAGTATCTAACCATCAGATACCTAGGGGTTAGATTTATTGCTTTTATATGAAGAGTTTTTTTTTTTAGCTCATTCATATATAAATCATTAATTTCCAGTACTTATATAGCTCCACTAGAGGCCCAGTGCATGAAATTCGTGCTCAGGTAGGGTCCCTAGGCCTGGCTGGTGATCAGGGCTGATCTGTGGGGGGACTGGCAGGGTGATCGGGCCCCAGCTCTCACCGGCCTTAGCTGGCCTGGTGCCACCCCTGCCACTGCCACTGGTTGGGGCCTGTGGGCTGGGGGCAGCTCCTGCATTGAGCGTCTGCCCCCTGGTGGTCAGTGCGCATCATAGTGACCAGTCATTCCTCCGGTCATTCTGCTGTTTGGTCAATTTGCATATTAGGTTTTATATAGATAGATAGGTCTTTTTGTGGTCTGACATTTATTTTGACTTTCTTTGTAGACTTTTTTATTGAAGTGAGAGGGTTGTTTGTTTTTTTAGGTAAATATTTTACTTAAAATATTTTATCAAGAATTGTAGAACTCAAAAGCTTTCCATAAAAGTAATATCTTTACATTTTATATTTGTTTCCATTGATATTTAAGATAGTATATTAACTTCACAAGTTATTTTTGAATGAATACACAAACAGTAACTGGTAGATTTTTGTCCATTTATTTAGCAACTATTGAATGTCTACTTTTATGTTAGGCACTGTTCTGGGTGCTATGAAATATTTTGATTTTTAAGATTGGTCTTGTGTTTAAGGTTTAGATGTTGAGGCAGTGCAGTGGTAGTTAGTTTAATGACTAGCAATTATTTCAGAGTAAGTTCAAGTTGTATATACAAGTGGGTTGTTAATTTCATTTATACCATTCTTTGAATTAGTCATGTACTGAGTTCTCAAGATATATATAGTTAAGTGGCTAGGGATCATATTAAAGAATTTCAACTTCTCTCTTCTCTGTAATGTTCAGTTCTCACTTTTTTAAAAAAATATATTTTTATTGATTTCAGAGAGGAAGGGAGAGAGAAACATAAATGATGAGAAAATCATCGATCGCCCTTGACCGGAATCAAACCTGGGACCCTTCAGTCCACAGGTCGATGCTCTTTCCACTGAGCTAACCAGCTAGGGCCAATTCTCACTTTTGACTGAAATAATGAGCAAAACTAGACATTGGAATATATTTTTTCTTCCTAGCTGCTATTCTCCCTCAGTTGTTTATATAAATTTGATTAGTAGCCTACTTGTGCCTTTAGCTTTTTGTTCCCCTGGTAATAGCAAATTATTAAATAACTAGAGGCCCAGTGCACGAAATTCATGCACTGGGTGGGGGTGGGAGTGGGGGTGTCCCTCAGCCCAGCCTGCACCCTCTCCAATCTGGGATCCCTCTCACAATCTGGGACTGCTGGCTCCCACTGCTCGCCTGCCTGCCTGCCTGATCATCCCCAAACCACTCCCCTGCCGGCCTGATTGATGCCTAACTGCTCCCTTGCTGTTCTGATTGCCCCCACTCTGCCCTCCCCTGCCAGCCCGGTCCCCCCCACAACTGCCCTCCCCTGCCAGCCATCTTTGAGGGCGTGGCAGTCAATTAGCATATTCCCTCCTTATTGGCTGTGGGCACTGCCATCTTTGAGGGCGGGGCAGTCAATTAGCATATTCCCTCCTTATTGGCTGTGGGCGCCGCCATCTTTGCGACTGTGTGAGGGTCAGTTAGCATATTCCCTCTTTGTTAGATAGGATTCTTAAAAGGAAGAATTTTATATGTAAGCCCTTGGGTCTTTGAGAAAAATTGAGACATTGTTGAGGAAGTTTGCTTAAGTTATGGAATAATTAATTATGTTTATTTAAAGATGTTTTCCCATAGCATTATGGATGAATATTAGGAAGTTTCCTTTGAATTGAATTGTTTTTCACATTCAGTAATGAATTATGCTGCTATGTTTTGGGCAAGTTGGTAACAATGCTGTATAAAAAATTTAACAAGTGGAATCAGCTTCTGACCTTGACTTTATCAGCCAGGTGGCATTTTAATCTGCTAATTCATAATTCCGGGAGGAAAGTTTTCAGAAACTTTCATGCTAAATCAGTTCGTGGCTCTGTCTTATCAACAGAGCAGTTTTATTGTTTGTTCTTTATGGGGAAGGAAGGACACTGTTGCATGGCCACAGTCCAGCCTTGACCATGGGCAACATATAAGGTCGAAATTGTTTACAAGAAGTTCCAGGGCTCAGCAGAAATCCTCTTACTGTGTCTCTCACTGCAGTTTCACAGGGATGAGAACTAGAGGAGAGAAGATAATACATCCCCCAGCTTAGGGCCCGCTTTTTTGTTGTTAATCCTCACCTGAGGATGTTTTCTGTTGCTTTTTAGAGAGAGTGAAAGGGAGGGAGGGAGGGAGAGGAAGAGAGAGAGAAAGACAGAGAGAGAGAGAGAGAGAGAGAGAGAGAGAGAGAGAGAGAAACATCCATGTGAGTGACACACATCGACTGATTGCCTCCTGCATGTGCCCCCTAATAGAGCCAGGGATTGAACCTGCAACCCAGATACATACTCAACCAGGAAATTGAACCCAAGACCCTTTGGTGTGCAGGCTGTAACCACTGAGGAACACCAGCCAGGGCAGATGTGCTTTTTAATAGCAGCCATTTTATCTGTAATAACAAAGACAGTACAATGGCAATTTTTTGTTTTGTTTTTGTTAATCCTCACCTGAGGATATTTTTCCATTGATTTTTAGAGAGACGGGAAGGGAGAGGGAGAGACAAAGAGAGAAACATTGATATGAGAGAGACACATTGATTGGTTGCCTCCCACACAAGCCCTGACCAGGGATTGAGCCTGCAACCAAGGTCCATGCCCTTGACTAGAATTGAACCCAGGACCCTTCAGTCCTTGGGCTGACGCTCTTTTCACTGAGCCAAACTGGCTAGGGCTGAAAATTTTACATTATAAATAAAAAAGGGCTTTCTTGGAGGATCTTTTTGTATTTTTACTGCTGTTTGTTTATGATTATATTATCCCCCAGTGGGACTAAACTTATATTTGAGTTGTGTGTTGCTACCTTGGCATCAAATGTATGAAGCCCAGTTGAAGGTATTATGCTGTGAATGCTAGTAGTTACTATCTCGCTGAAAAGTTCTCAAATACAGTTGTTTGGTAGAAACTTCACATCTTCCTCAAAATAGTGGGACACTGGTGGGCTACAACCTAGGATTCACTGGGATCTGGAAAATAATAAAGGAATAACCCTAGCCAGTTTGGCTCAATGCATAGAGCGTCGGCCTGCGGACTGAAGGGTCCCAGGTTCGATTCCAATCAAGGGCACATGCCTGGGTTGCAGGCTCGGTCCCCAGTGGGGAGCATGCAGGAGGCAGCCGATCAGTGATTCTCTCTCATCATTGATGCTTCTATCTCTCTCTTCCTCTCTTTCCTCTCAGAAATCAATAAAAATATTTTTTAAAAAAATAAAGGAATAGAGAAATTAATTTGCACCGTAGGCCGTGATTTCTGCACAGCCTATAGTAGTTTGAGTCTGTCATTAACCAAATGTGGCTTTAGAACCGTAGAGTACCATTACTTTGTACATGCACACGTACAAGTATGTTTATGTAAAAACTTATTCCTGTGCTATCAGTATCAGAGGTGTTTTAATGGTACAAAAACTTTTCACCTTTATAAGTAATGATGAATCATTGTTTTCTATTTAGATTTTCTTTAGAAGATAGCTTTTTAAATATGAGAGGATGGTGTATTTCTGTTTACTGTAGAGATATACTTATAGTGAAGGGGGAAATTATTTTTCTAGGACCACTGAGCAGCAGCAAAGATTCCATGAAATTTGCAGCAATCTAGTAAAAACTCGTCGCAGAACTGTGGGCTGGTGGAAACGCCTCTTCACACTAAAGGAAGAAAAGCCAAAAATGGTACTTTTTTTGTTTTGATTTATTCAAGTAAAGCAAAATTTTAAGGTTGAGTCAGTTTTTACTTCAGTGTAATATAATGATAGCCTTTTTGTTTGAATAGTTGTAGTTTGATATTTATCATCCATTGCTTTAATTTCTTTTGAGTGTATTCATAAATGCATATCTGTATTAGACTGAGTCACTAGAAGGTAAAATTACATTTAATTTGTATTCTAGTAGAGTGAAATCTTTCTCTTTTTTTTCTTACTGAAATAAAGTAAGAGACATATACTTAGAAAGCATTTATTTTCTATTTTTAAAATTTATTTATTGAGCCCTGGCCAGTTTTTCTCAGTGGATAGAGTGTCGGCCTGTGGACTGAAAGGTCCTGGGGTCAATTCCAGTTTAGGGCACATTCCCAGGTTGCGGGCTCAATCCCCAGTAGGGAGTATGCTGTGGATGGCTGATAAATGATTCTCATCATTAATGCTTCTATCTCTCCCGTTCCCTTCCTCTCTGAAATCAATAAAAATATATTAAAAAAAAAAAGCCCTAGCTGATTTGGCTCAGTGGATAGAGCATCAGCCTGTGGACTGAAAGGTCCCAGGTTCGATTCCAGTCAAGAGCACATGCCCAGGTTGCTGGCTCGATCCCCAGTAGGGGGCATGCAGGAGGCAGCTGATCAATGATTCTCTTTCATCATTGATGTTTCTATCTCCTCTCCCTTCCTCTCTGAAATCAGTATATATATATATATAAACAAAGAAAAAGGATATGATTTCTTTAAAAAAGAGGTAATGGATGTTAACCTACCAAAAAATTTATTGATTTGAGAGAGAGAGAAACGTAGATTTGTTGTTCCAATTATTTATGCATTCATTGGTTGACTCTTGTATATGCTCTGACGGGATTAAACCCACAACCTTGGAGTATCAGCATGACACTCTAACCAACTGAGTACCTAGCCAGGGCTAGCATTTTTTTTCTTAATTCAACTTACTATGTGAAGTTATTAATTGTAAAAGTTGTATCATTTGTATTATAAACTATTTAATTTAAATATAGAATTACAATAGTTCTATGATGGATCCAAATTCTATAAAGCTGGGCCTAATGGAGTTTTCTTTGTTTTTTGTTTTGTTTTTTTTGTGTGTGGGGTTTTTGTTTGTTTGTTTTTTAATATGTTTTTATTGATTTCAGAGAGGAAGGGAGAGAGAGATAGCAACATCAGTGATGAGAGAGAATCACTGATCGGCTGCCTCCTGCACACCCATCCTGCACTGGGGATCAAGCCTGCAACCCAGACATGTGCCCTGACTGGGAATCGAATCATGACTTCCTGGTTCCTAGGTTGACGCTCAACCACTGAGCCATGCCGGCCGGGCTCTATGGATTTTATATACTATAGATAGATACCAAGCATTTTTAAAGAAAAGTGGTAATAAAAACTGAATCATTTTCCAACCTTTAAAACGACTTTCTTAGTCTGTTTCAAGGAGTTAATACATTCTTATTATTTTCTTTATTAGTACTTCATGACCATGATCATTTCTCTTGCTGCGGTTGCTTGGGTGGGACAGCAGGTCCACAACCTTCTTCTCACCTACCTGATAGGTAAGTCTTTGAGGGCACAGGCACATTCTGGACAATGAAGTCTAAGGAACTTAAACAAACATGTGTGTGCTTACCAAGTTTAAGGCACTGATCAAGGGACTGTGGGAGTCTAGAAAGATCTCTAAAACCCAGGTCCTTGTTTGTAGGAAGTTTGTGGTCTTGCAGGAAGTTAAGACAAAGAACATCATAACCAGGTAGAAAGAAATGTACAGGAGGTAAAAATAAGCAGTGCGTGTCATCTGAGGTTGGGAGGTATGATGGTTGAAGTTTCTGGGATATAAATATCAACAGAAGTAATGGATTTCATATTGCTTCCTCCCATTAGAATGCCTAATAGTCTGGGAAACTATCTTCTCTAGAATGTATTAACATTTAGGAAGTGAATTATTGCCTTCTTAACTTTGTTTGTTTGTTTATTTTTAAGTGACTTTCTTACTGTTGCTTCCTGACTAAACCAGACCAAACGGCAGAGCAACAGGTTGCTATGATGCACACTGACCACCCAGGGGCAGACATTCAATGCACTGCCCCCTGGTGGTCAGTGCACTCCCACAAAGGGATAACTGCTCAGCCAGAAGCCAGGCTCACGACTGGCAAGTGCAGCAGTGGTGCTGGGAGCCTCTCCCACCTCCATGGCAGTTGGACATCCCCCAAGGGCTTCCAGACTGTGAGAGGGCGCAGGCCGGGCTGAGGGACCACCCCCACCCAAGTGCACAAATTTCATGCACCAAACCTCTAGTTGAGTAATATTATCCTTTTTTATCTCAAATATCAACTATTATTATGATGGCACATGACTGATTTTAAAAGCAAATAATACCATTCAATTAATGTTAAATAGTAGAAACACTACTGTCCACACTACCAATGTAGTTATCTTGTAACTAATAATATGCATTTATTTCTTTATATTTATAGTAATTACAGTTTTGAAAATTCACACTTCATCATACTTAAAAATCTGTCAAAATTCAAATTATCAAAACTTAACTTTTCATTCATATGCAAATTTGAAAATTCTCTCTTTCATACACACACTTCAAACAACCAGCCCCAGTAACAAATGCACTTTTCTGCATTACTTTGAAAAGATGAATTTACTATTTATGTTAAATGATGAATTTGCTACTTATGCTCCCAAGTTAAACATATTTATCAGTTAAATATAATTGCAATGAACAATAACATGAATCAGGAAAAAGGCTAAGGTTGATTGTTTAAATAAGTTAACTCATAGTTTTAAAAACTGAAGTCTGAGTAATTTTTGATGAATGTCCTATAGTCAAACTCATATAATTGGTGAAAGAAAGACTCAAATCTATGGCTTCTTCTTACTGTAGTGTTGCATTGTGAAAATTTTATGCTTCTATCCAAGAGATCTGGCAGCTCACAGAGTGATTGACAGGGACATGATATCATATTCGTGATTCTGGTTTTTTTCCCCTTTAATTAATGGACTTTATTTTTTAGCGCAGTTTAAGTTTACAGAAAAATTGAACAGAAAGTATAGAGAACTCTCATATACTCTCTCTTCTAAAGCCCACGGTTTCCTCAATTATTAACATCTTTCATTTGTGTGGTAAATTTGTTACACTTAATGAACCACTATTGATACATTATTATTAATGCATTAATAATATTACTTTAACTCTGATTAACTAGCTGTAATATAGTTCTGTGAATTTATTGCACTGATGCTGTAAAACCTGGATCTTGTGGTATATCTGTCCCTACATAAGTGTTGTTTTCTCCCCTTCAATATTGCTGTCAACAGTGGCACCCATGTAGCATATGTTTGAGTTTTTTGTTTCATACTACAAGCTACCTTAATTTACATGTGTTTCCTCATTGTAAATAAGCCTGTCTTCTTATCTGGATTTTTTGTGTGTATACATGTTCTACCACCTACTTTTGTGATTTTAATTCTGTATTACTTCTTCTACTTCGTTTTGTGAAAAGGGGAAAAATAAAAGCTGGTATCCCTTTTTGTGTCCTGTTTCTTTCTACCTTAGCCAGTACAATATTTACTTGAGTGGATTTATGGATCTGATTAATGAACTATCTTGTGTGATCAATACATGCCTATAAGGTACTCTTTAAGAACAAAATAAAAGGTTTAAATTTATTCATTCAGCAAACATCCAGGCAAAATGCTAGATGCAAAAGGAAATGAATAAGTGATAACCAAAGATGATGTGTGAGAAGGCCAACCAGGGAGAACAGGCAGGGAACAATGCAGGCTCAAGGGAGAGTGCCTGCCATGGGCACCTCTGTACCCCAGGGTACACGAGGTGCTCAGTAAGTAAGTGGTGGGTGACTTGTATGTACTTTAAACTTTTTTTTTTTTTTTTTACATTAGAGCTCCAATTGGATGTTTTATCATTGGACCTCACTGTCTACTTAGTGTATCCTGGGAACAGATTCAATCAAATTACATTCTGAGGCCTACATCCACCCCCCACCCCCACCCCCCACACATACGAAAAAAGTGTATGGATCCTTCTTTGGAGCCTCTTGGGGATTTGTTGTAATTCCAAACAGGGAAGTCTCAACACAAAATCACCATCATTGGTTGCCTGATGCTTGGAAATGCTGTATTTATACCATGCAGTTGTGATTACATCTCAGGCTGGCCAGTCACACTGGCTGGCTTCCTTCCCATGCCAGTCTGGCTACGCCTGTGCCAGTTATGATCACAGCAAAAGTCCCGTTTTAACACTTGCTTTGGCGTTACTTCCAGTGATGGTCCTATCATCCCAAATTCACAAAATGTCGAGAGGAGGCTATTTGGAGATGTGCTAAAAAGAGTAAAGATTTGGTAGTTTTTAGGTCCGGTGCTTTAATGCCAATTCATCTTCCACACAGTTGCCATTTATTTAGCCTCACCTGAGGATATATCTATTGACTTTAGAGAGGAAGGAGGAGAGAGAGAAATATCGGTGTGAGAGAAACATTGATTGGTTGCCTTCCATATACGCCCCGACTGAGGATTGAACCTGCAACTTAGGTGTGTGCTCTGACCAGGAAAGGAACCTGCCACCTTTTGGTGTATGGGATGACTCCAACCAACTGAGCAACCCAGCCAGGTCTAGTTGTCATTTAACAATCAGATCATGATCAATCCTATTTGAAGCCCTCTCGGCAGGTTCCAGTTTGCCTACAGCATAAATCACAAACTTGTAAGGCAGTTTATACCTGGCCATCTGCTCCAATTCTACTCCTCTACCCTACTTCCCAATTCCAACCCAGCCATTCTGAGACTTCTGTTCATCTTTATTCCATGCCTCCTAGTTCTTGGAGCTGTTGTAAAGCTAGAATATCTGCTGCCCATTCACCCTAACATTTTATGGTTCAGGTAGACCTAGATCCAACCCCCCCCCCTTTTTTTTTTACTTTTAAAACTAAAAAAATAAAGATTGAGTCAATTTAAGATTGAACTTCGTCTTCTCATTTGTGAAGTGGGGGTAATAGTATAGATCTCATAGGTGCAGTATATGATCCCATTTGTTTTGTGAATTCAATAAATTAATCTACAGGAAGCACTTAGTGGCAGTCACGAATTAGAAGTTGTTAGACTTCACGACACATCAAATTGCACTTTCTCTGTGAAAGCTTTAGCAACATCCCAGGCCACCTGCATTTCCACAGCACTTCATATTGGCAAACTAATGGCACATTGGCTGGTATTGTGTTAAGATTTCTGTTTCAAGGCAGGAACGTACTTTTGTCCCCTCACTACCTGGTACATGATATTCTGTTAAGTGAATGGATGAATGAATTAAGTGTATAAAGAGATAGTGGATATTGCTATTTTCCTATTTATGATAAAGCTCTTAAAGTGAATTTATTCACTTAACTCCCCACTATTGCTAAGGCGCTCAAAGTGAATTCCACAGTTTTAGCAAACAAAACATGTAAGTGCAGAGGAACCAGTTCTTCAAGGAAATGTTCATTTAAAAACCAAATGGTCCTTTGTAATATATATTTAACGAGAGAATTCTATATCCCTGAGATCTCCAAATTGGGAGCTTTGCTTTCCTGCGGTTCACTTAGGATTTGAGAAGTGGTGTGTTAGGCAGAGGCTTTATACTAAGGAATGTTAATGTTGATGAGCACTCGCTCTGCCTTACCCTCACAATAACTTTTTTTAAAAAATATTTTTTTTATTGATTTCAGAGAGGGAGAGAGAGAGATAGAAATAGAAACATCAGTGATGAGAGAGAATCATTGATAGGCTGCCTACTGGGCAATCAAGCCCGCAACCCGGGCAAGTGCCTGACCAGGAATCGAACCTGGGGCCCTTTAGTCCTCAGGCCCATGCTCTATCCACTCAGCAAAACCGGCTAGGGCTCCTCATAATAACTTTTAAGAGGCAGGTATTATTATTATCCTCAGTTTATATCTGAGGAAAGTTCAAAGAGGATGAGACATACAAACTGGTTCTTGTCCTGGTGTAGACAGGCAGATAAAAGCCACCCGCTCCGAATCCTGAGTGTTTATTTAGAAACATTTGTGACTTTCTTCCAAATGTTTTTCCCCAGAACTCACAAGAAACGCCTGGAGCCTTAGTAAATAATTTCTAAAATTTAGGGAGGGTCAAAGAGGAACAACAGATTACAAAAAATATTTTTGACTGCTTTGAAAATGTAATGTATACACACATTTCAAACAACAAAACAAACTTGTATAGGGAGAAAAGCAAGTCTTCCATCCCAGTTCCTAATGCCCTTCCCCAGAGGTAATAACCGATTTCTGTGGGTCTTTCCAGAGACACTATAAATACGCAATATTAAAATTTATTCTAAATGGTGAAGTTATTGCAATAAAAATTAGCAAACATAGGCCCTTGTTGTCAGTTTTTTATTTTACAGATTAAGTGCTACAAGGGAATGGACCAGTGGTTCTCAACCTTCTGGCCATTTAAATACAGTTCCTCATGTTGTGACCCAACCATAAATTATTTTCGTTGCTACTTCATAACTGTAATGTTGCTACTGTTATGAATCGCAATGTAAATATCTGATATGCAGGATGGTCTTAGGCGACCCCTGTGAAAGGATCCTTCGACCCCCAAAGGGGTCGCGACCCACAGGTTGAGAACCGCTGGATGCCTTCCCTCTCTATCCTCTACCCATGGCCTCACCTGGTAAGGTCGATGCTATCTACTCTCTATTGCCCATGCCTGAGGAGGCTCCGCCCTTTACCCCTCCTTCCACAGTCTTTCCCCGCCGGGCCCTGGTGGTGCTTTGAAAATCTCGCGAGATCCTGTCCGCTTCCCATAACTCCGTGCGCTCGCCCCTCCCGTTCTCTTTCCGCCATCGGTCCTTGCCGGTGAGTACCTCTGTCTGGGCAATCCAGCGTCATCCGTCGGCTATCGGCGCCATCCTGCAGTCTGAGACTCGACTTCTGTGATCTGCGAGGATTCTGGGCCGGGGATACGGGCCTTGAGGAGCCTGGGCAGGCGTAGGGGAAAGTCGTGCTCGGTGCCCCACGCTCAGTACCCGGGAGCTGCCTTATCGGGCCCAGGCCGCAGCGCGGGCGGGAACCGGAGAGGCGGTCGCCCCGCGCGGTCAGCGGCGCCGGGATCTCCCCGAAGTGGCCGAGGCGGCGGGAAGCGTTGGGCACGGGGACTGTCGTGGGCCGCGCATTGCTGCGGTCGCGCTGGGGGCTAGTGAGGCTGGGGGCTCGGCAGGAAGTACTGCTGGGGAGGCAGGCAGTTCGCTGGGAACTAACCTGGACCTTCGGTGCTCGAGGGCTTCCCCTCCATCACTTGGTTGAGCTTTAGGAAGCAGATTGGATCCCTGCCAACCTGCTTGGCGCTTAAGGCTTGATTTGGATTCCGTCCTCACTTTCCAGAACTTGGTCAAAGTGTCTTGCAGTTTGTGCCCATGCGGAGAGAGTCCGCTCTGGTGCACTGTTCGCCACTGATACACTTCCTGTTGGACACAATGTTGTGGCACAGAGACCGACGTTTTCTCTTTAATAGACACGGGCGTTGGGTGGAAAGTAGTACCTTTTTGTATATTAGGACAAGACTGACATTGGGTTAGTGGATCAAGGGACAGTGTTAGTACAGGGGCTGCTGGATTTCAGAAGTCAGGAGAACGTCGTCGGTGACTCCCGGCTCCCGTGCGGAATAGCGGACGGACCGTGTCTGACATTTTCGTTCAGGTAGCCGACATTCCGCTGGGGATCCTGGGGAACAGTCCTGCTGAGAAATAGGAAAACTTGGATCATGATAGAGGCAGAAAAAGGGATGTGAAGGGACTGGGTGCCTGTTGACGGTAGCAGTGACGGTAAACTCTTGTTTTGTCTTCCCCCAACAGCCATAATGGTGCGCATGAATGTCCTGGCTGATGCTCTGAAGAGTATCAACAATGCCGAAAAGAGAGGCAAGCGCCAGGTTCTCATCAGGCCGTGCTCCAAAGTCATCGTCCGGTTTCTGACCGTGATGATGAAGCATGGTAAGTTGCTGTGTTCTGTGTGCCTGGGGACCGTTGGCGATGGACCTGGGCTGTGCCTGGAACGGCCTGGAGAGATGATGCTGTTGAGGAAGCACTGAGGATGTTAGGACTGTTGGAAGGAGAGGTGAAGTTTGTGACTTGCTCTGCTAGGTGTTTGGGGATTAAAATGGCCCTTCACCTGCGATGAGGCATCGAAGGGGCTCCTGAGCTCATCCAAGAGCTTGGGGTGGAAAGGGTGGTTGCATGGCTTGGGCACAGGGTTGCCTTTGGAAGTGGGAAGGTCTGAAGGGGCAAGGGCACATAATCCACTTGGAAGAATTGCAGGCTGGGTTTTGGGTGCTGCCCCCTGAATTTTCAGTATTAGGCTGTAAAGATTAGTTCTGGTACAGAGCCACTCTCTTTCCCTAAACTTCTTAGAGAAACGTTAACTGAGATGAGGGAAAAGAATCTAGTAGGCAGACAGAAGGAATACTAGGAGAGTAAATATTTAGGTCTCCCAAATTGATACCTGCCATTTAATACAGTTCGTTATGTTC